AAAAAAAAAAAAAAAGTTTTGAGGAGTGAATTTGGAACGAGCTGTGCCATCACCCAGCCCAAAGGGGTTCAGAAATAACACCCAAAAAATGGGTGGAGAAAAGGTCCAGGACGCAACAGCGAGGAGGGGGCACAGGTTCTGCCACCCCAGGATGGTCCTCGGGCCACCACACCGCAGCGAAACGCTGCCGAGAGGGTGAGGAGGACAAAGCCGGGCGAGTGGGGATCTGCTAACGAAGGAGGAGGGGGACCCTCGGCCGGGCTGGTGGCATCTGCTCCAGAGGGACAAGAATGGAGCAATTCATGACCAGGACAAGCCCCCTTTGTCCTGCTGCTCGGGGACCACCTCGGGTTCACCCTTCCTCAGCCCACAGCCTGGAAATGCCGCTCTGACTCCACGCACCCAGCCCCAGGACCTCAGGAAATCCTCCAAAAGACAAGATCCATCAAAACGCATCCCCCTACCCCCTCCTCCCATGGCAGGCAGGGGACAGCCCCCACCCTGGGCTCACCCACTGCTCCCCAGGGAGATGGGGTGACGGCCAGGAGCGCTCCCCGCTCCCCCAGGAGAAGCAGTTCCTCCCGCGGGAGCAGACAGATGGTCTGCAGAAGATGTGCTGCTCAGTCGTCTGTCGCAGCCCTCGGAAAGTCTATTTTCAAGAGACAGTTTGTTGGGTTTGGTGGTTGTTTTTTGGTTTTTTTTAATACCTGAAGAAGAGGGAAGCTTCCCGGGCAACAGGACGATCCAATCTGGTGTTGAACCATCTCCATTCCCGGGTGAGTACGTAAAACCTTGACATCTCCTCACCCGGGCAGACCAAGCCCAAGGAACACTCTGATATGGGGGGAACCAAAAAAAATTCATCCCTTTTCCCTTTACCAACTTAAAACCCAGGGATGCAAAGAGCTGGGGGGCAGCAAACCACGCTGACCTTCTCCAGACCTGCTCCTCCAGCAGCTCCCCAGCTCCTGACCCAGCCCTGGTCTCAGAAGACCCTGAAACAGGAGGGAAAGGCTCCCCCAAAGGGATTCCCCAGCTTTTCTCAGCACCCATTTTTGCAGAGCAAGGAGGAAAGGCGGCTGCATCCTGATGCTCTGCCTTGTGGAGAGGTACCAGGGAACTGCCTGACCTGAATATTTATTAATCGGATGAGCCAAACAAAGCCCCAGGGTATCTCTGATGATGCTGTGGACCGCTCCATCGCAGGGCAGCACTGGAAAAAAAAAATAATCACATCTTATTTTCCCCCCCTCCCTGTATCAGCAAAAAAACCCAAAAAACACCAAGCCTTAGAGCCCAGTGTGTTGAAAGGAGTAAATAACTGGGGTAGCTGGCGAGATGATTCCTGCAATTACATCCCTGCCCAGAAACCAGAGCCCTTTCTGGCAGCCAGAACTCATGAAGTTTTCAGAGGTTGGTGCCTGAGAAGATGCAGGGGCTGAAGAACGGCTGGGTCAGTGGAATAAACCTCTCTCTGCACGTAGAAATCTGGTTTTTGGTGTTTTTCCCACCAAAATGAGCAGCTCTGGCCAGGTGATGGCACTTGAGGGGGGGACTGTGTCTCATGAGGAGAGGAAGAAAAACCTCAGCAGAGCTGGGAAGTGGCAGCAGAAGCCCCCAGAGGTTCGGGGGGGCTCCTGGGGCAGGACCTTCCAGCTGCAGGGAGGCACCTCCTGCCCCACCACCTCCCTGCCAGAAGGAATGGTTGATTTTATGGTTTTTTTTTTCAAGAGGAACCCTTGCGAAACTTTCAAGCCGCCTGTGGCAGGGAGGGGCTGCCCTTTTAAACGAGCTCATTTAAGGCGGATATATGACTAATTAGCGGGGCAGAGGTGCTGTGGGGATCAGGCAGCAGTCACCGAGCCCCCAGCAGGCGGCCAGGGCGAGGGCCAGGGTTAGTCATTTGATTTACTTGGAGCAAAAAGCCTCTCCCTGCCCCAGGGAAGCTGCAATCCCACTCCCAGGGGTAAATCCTTAAGGAGTAAGTGAAGCTCATGGAGTTTTTTGCACCCCTCTGGCTGCCTGCTCCCCCGTTTGGGCTGAAATTTGGTGGCAGAGGTTGGGTTTTGGGTGAAGAAGGTGGATGGACACAGCCCCTCCTGCCAGAACCCCTCTGTCTGCTGCACCCCTGTGGTGCCAGGAGCCTGGTAAAAGCCAGAACACCAAACGGGGTTACTCAATCAACGTTTTAATTGACTTGAGCAGAAGACATGGTTTCCATAGCAATGGGCTGTCGGCCCCAATTTGTATAAAATCAGACTTAAAAAATAAAAAAAGCACCGAGACCTGTAAAAAAAAAAAAAAAACCCTGAAAATGGGCATTTATTAAAAATGAAAAAATACAAAAAAGCTCCTCTTCCAGCTCACACTCTTCCTGCCTCCTGGAATTTCTTAAACAGGAGTTCGTCGGCCCGAAGGGGGAAGGTCAAAGCCCGTTTCTGGTAGTACGTGGAGTCCATGGCCAGGTTGTCGATGACGTCTGCCAGGAGGTGGGCTCTCTCCACCGAGCTGCCCGGCGCGTCGTAGCCCAGGGCGGTGAAATGCACGTGCAGGTGGTAGTAGGAGGGCTGGTAATGCAGGTAGATCCGCAGCTGGGACGCGGGCACCCCGAAGCGCTTCCTTATGGCCTCCTAGGGAGGAAAAACAAGCCACGGGTCAGGACGAGCAACACATGAGGACACACAGCATCTTCTAGGTTGGAAGGGACCTTAAAGATCATCTTGTCCAACCGTCAACCTAACTTTGACAAAAATAGACAAAAAGCAACACCATCACTAAACCATATCTCCCAGCACTACATCAACCCGGCTTTTGAACACCTCCAGGGATGGGGCCTCAACCACCTCCCTGGGCAGCCCATTCCAATGCCTGATAACCCTTTCAGTGAAAAAATTTTTCCTAATATCCAGCCTGAACCTCCCCTGGCGTAATTTGAGGCCATTTCCTCTTGTCCTGTCGCCTGTGACTTGGGAGAAGAGACCGACCCCCACCTCTCTACACCCTCCTTTCAGGGAGTTGTAGAGAGCAATAAGGTCTCCCTTCAGCCTCCTCTTCTCCAGGCTGAATAACCCCAGCTCCCTCAGCCTCTCCTCATAAGACTTATTCTCCAGACCCCTCACCAGCTTTGTCACCCTTCTCTGGACCCGCTCCAGCACCTCTATGTCTTTTTTATGGTAGGGGGCCCAAAACTGGACACAGTACTCGAGGTGGGGCCTCACCAGTGCCCAGTACAGGGGGACAATCACCTCTTGGGCCCTACTCACCACGCTGTTCCTGACACAGGCCAGGATGCTGGTGGCCTTCTTGGCCACCTGGGCACACTGCTGGCTCATCTTCAGCCAAGAGTTGACCAACACCCCCAGGTCCTTTTCTGCCAGGCAGCTCCAGCCACTCTGCCCCCAGCCTGTAGCACTGCATGGGGTTGTTGTGACCCAAGTGGAGGACCTGGCACTTGGCCTTGTTGAACCTCATCCGGTTGGTCTCAGCCCATCCATCCAGTCTGTCAAGATCCCTCTGCAAAGCCTCTCTACCCTCCAGCAGGTCGACACTCCCACCCAGCTTGGTGTCGTCTGTGAACTTACTGAGGGTGCACTCGATCCCCTCGTCCAGATCATTGATAAAGATGTTAAAGAGAATTGGCCCCAGTACTGAGCCCTGTGGGACACCACTCGTGACTGGACGCCAGCTGAATTTGACTCCATTCACCACCACTCTCTGGGCCCGGCCCTCCAGCCAGTTTTTAACCCAGTGGAGGGTATTCCCATCCAAGCCATGGGCAGCCAGTTTCTCCAGGAGGATACTGTGGGAGACTGTATCAAAGGCTTTGCTGAAGTCCAGATAAACAACATCCACAGCCTTTCCTTCATCCACCAAGTGGGTCACTTGGTCATAGGAGATCAGGTTGGTCAAGCAGGACCTGCCCCTCGTGAACTAGTACTGGCTGGGCCTGATCGCATGGGTGTCCTTCATGCGTTGCATGATGGCACTCAGGATGGTCTGTTCCATGGCCTTCCCAGGCACCGAGGTCAGACTGACAGGCCTGGAGTTCTCTGGATCATCCTTCCAGCCCTTCTTGTGGATGGGTGTCACATTTGCTAGACGCCAGTCGGCCGGGACCTCCCCGCTTTTCCAGGGGGAAGCAGCACATGGACAGACCTTGCCATGGATGGCAAGGAGCATCCCCCGGCAGCACAGAAGACAGAGAGAAGGGCAGAAGTGATTTCTGCTTCCTCCATCCTCAGGGCAAGGGAGAGAGGGAGGTGAGGAAGGACAGAGCTCTTCCCCATCCTCGCTTCCATCCTCCGTGGGGATGGAGCAATGCCTCTGGCTGCCCCACTTTCCCCGCCCTGGGACGGGACGTGCTCTCCTCCGCTCATATCGTTTTCCCTTCCACCCTTATCGCCCCGGCTCGCTCGGCAAGTTACAGGGATCCCGTTACCAGCCGGTGTAATTAAAGCTATAAACAGCCACGGCAAACTCCGGCACGCCGGCTCGGTTCACTGCTCAGCACGCTGCAATCCCCCGACTAATCTCTTAATTAATCTCCACTTTCCCCAGCACGGTTACTTTCCAAATTTCTACCACGGTGAAGGAAAGAGAAGCTATCACCCATCCATCTCCCAGGCACGCCCCGTCACGGGGCTGGAAAAAAAAGGGTTGGCTGGTGAGAACGGTCAAGGTGTTGGGAAGATATCACTGTGAGGAGGACGGGGCTGGACTCCTGAAGGTCATGGAGAAATATCATAGATTCATAGAATTGCCCAGGCCAGAAGGGACCTCCAAAGGTCATCTAGTCCAACCCCCCCGCAGTCAGCAGGGACACCCCCAACCAGACCAGGTTGCCCAGGGCCTCGTTGAGCCTCTCCTTGAATATCTCCAGGGAAGGGGCCTCAACCACCTCCCTGGGCAACCTGTTCCAGTGCTCCACCACCCTCCCAGTGAAGAACCCTCTCCTCATCTCCAGTCTAAATCTGTTCCCCTCCAGCTTGAAGCCATTGCCCCTTGTCCTGTCACTGCAGGCCTTTCTAAACAGGTTCTCCCCAGCCTTCCTGTAGGCCCCTTCAGGTACTGGAAGGCCGCTATTAGGTCTCCCCGGAGCCTCCTCTTTTTCAGGCTGAACAACCCCAGCTCCCTCAGCCTGTCCTCGGAGCAGAGGTGCTCCATCCCCCTGATCATCCTTGTGGCCCTCCTCTGGACCCTCTCCATCAGGTCCATGTCCTTCTTATATTGAGGGCTCCAGACCTGCACACAATACTCCAGGTGAGGTCTCACCAGAGCAGAGCAAAGTGGCAGAATCCCCTCTCTGGACCTGCTGGCAACGCAGCTTTTGATGCAGCCCAGGATGGGATTGGCCTTCTGGGCTGCAAGTGCCCACTGCCTGCTCATGTCCAGCTTCTCATCCACCAGCACCCCCAAGTCCCTTTCCTCAGGGCTGCTTTCTATCAAAGGGCCCTGAAATGCCCCACATGTGGCACAGCTTCCTGATGCCCCAGGGAAGATGCTGATGGGGCAGCAGGGACCGGGGTGTCAGATTGTCCTCTCTGGGTCCCCAGGAAGATCCATGCATAGGTGGGTCGGCAGTGACCCTGCCATGCTCTCCTCAGGCAGGGTCACACCAGCATCACTGCTCACCTTCCCTTCCTGCAAGACGTTCCTCAGCAGCGGGAGGTGCTCGGCCGTGAGGTCCCGAAGAGACTTGACCTCCCGGCGGTGAATGAGGGCGATCAGGTAGAGGTCATCCAGCTGCAGGGAGAGGGGGGACAGTGACAAAGGTGACCACGCACGAGCGCTTTGGACCAGACACACCAACCACCCCCTTTCCAGGCTGGAATGGGCAATAGCAGGGTCCTGTTTAACCCACACCTAAACTGGGCTGAATCCAGTAGGAATCTCCCAGGGTGAGACGTGCTCACCTCCAAACCTACTGCACCTCAAAGCGCCGTTTCTGGAGAAACCAGGTTTTTTTATTCCCCAAGAATAAGCAGAAGAGGATGGCTTCACCCCAATCCATCAAGAGTGGGATCACAAATACCTTCTCAGACATGGGGGAAACTGAGGCCTGAGCCCAGAAGGCCGGGGGGGTGTCTCTTTTCTGCCGAGCGAGCGAGCGGTGTGTCTCCACGCTCACACCACGACCAACAGCGAATTGCAGCAGCCAAAACCATGACTCTTAGGTTTCTCCAAGCGAAAAGCTTCCTAAATTTCCACCGTGCAAAGTGGTTCCGATATTTCCACTTTCTGGTCACACCAGTTCTATAAATAACTATTTTCAGGATCTAATCGGTCACCGGTGCAGTGAAATAAGGCCATTAAGGCAGCTCTCATCCAACCTTTGGCACCTCCTAAAGCACTTTCCAAATGCAATGTTTAACAAGATGCGGGGTTGTGGATCATTACACAAAATAAATGAAAAAAAAATAAAATAAAAATCCCCATCTCCTTCAGCTCAGTTAGTGGCTTTCTAACATAAACACCGCAAAGCAAAGGGTTTAGATAGTTGAGACTCAGCAGATCTTCTCAGGGCTGCGAGAAACCCATCTGGCTACTGGGAAAGAGTGCCAAAAGATGCTCTCAGGACCTGCTCTCGGGGCTCTGGAAACACGAAGCTGCTGTTTGCCCCCAGCCCAGCTCTCACGCTCCGGCTCCCTTCCCGAAACAGCCTGCACATGGCTCTGGAAAAAGGCGACGGATCGGCGTGTCCTCGTTGGATCAGGGCTGGCTGGGG